TTTCAGTTGTGACAAGTGTCAAACTGTTGTGCACCCTCTTTCTAGGCCTTAGGGCCTCATTCAAGGCCAGGTTCACGGCTGATACTTGGCCGTTATATCTCGGATTTCAACAATGTCACCCCTATGCTCCTAGAGGGTTCCACTTTGCCTCCGTTGTCCAACTTTGAGCTCCCTTTGCTCCGATTTTCTAAGGACAGTCTTTTTCTCATTTTGAGCCTCTTGAGCCTCTATTTTCCCATGCCTAGCTAGTCCGAGATATTTCGGACTGCTGGGCAGCCCTCCCAACATCATTATTTTACTTTCTTTTTTCCCGATGGTTCTCCCACTTGCCCCCACTAGTGCTTGCACTAGTGGTGCTAATATTTCCCACCGTCTAGATCCTTGATCTCGATGGTGTCGTTTGCTTGCACAATTATTCCTTGTGCTTGCTCATGGTTCCCTTGGGACATCCCAAGTCCCCGCCACTTTCCTCCATACTAGGCCCATTTTCTTATCCCGCCGGCGGCCCCGCCGGCGCGTGTCCCGTTTTTCGACTTTTATTATTTGGACTCACTTGGTCCTCGACAACATTCCGGACGGTGTTCCATTTTTATTTTTGGGACCTCCTTGCCCTTGGTGGTCCCATCATCTCTACATGCGTGCCGATTTTTCTTGGCCGTGAGATTTTATCTCACGGTCGCCGTTTACCGTCTCACATGCCGAAATTGCTCCTTTCTAGCCTTTTGGGTTTGTCGTGGTTCATTTTCCCTTAGCCTAGGCATCCCCATGCAGTCCGTTATTTCTCGGACTGCAGTCATGGTCATTTTTCTAGTCTCACAGCCCCACAACTTACCCCATGCTAAAGGAAAATGAAGCGTTAAATTTCTAAGTGCATCCGGGCTCAATATTAACTCCGGATGCACCAAAAACATGTGTTTCTCCTCCCCCATGTAACCCGTTATTTTTCGATTGCATGGGGCTTTGATTTTCTTTGATTTTCTCTGCAAAAATCAAAGAAAATCAAAGTCCATTGCAATCGTTATGTTTCATAATGAATCTGGTCAGTAGAGATCTTTCTTGGACAGTAGGGACCTGCCAGTCCCTTCTTGTGGCAGTCCCTACTGACGGCCAACTCACTCACTCCCTCTCACTCTTTTGTCTTATTCTCCCACATTTTCTTTTCTTTTCTCTCTTTTTTCTAGCATGCCAAGTGTCAAGTGGCCGTTGAGGCCCTTTTCTAGCCCCTCCCTCTTAGTTTTGGCCCTTCCAATGCCCAAGGTGCAGTCCTTTATATCTCGGACTGGAATAATGGCCCTCTCATGCCCATGGGAGTTTCCTTTTACTTCTATTTTTCTCCCATAGTGGCCACTCCTACTCCGATTTTCTCCCGACGGCCTATTTTTCACATGGGGTCTCTTTTGACGCTTAGTCCCGCCGGCGGTCCCCGGCACTTAGTCCCGGATGCCATTATTTCTACTTAGACCCACTTGGCCCCGGGTGCCTTGAGGGAGGCTGATCCGAGATTTTTCGCCGCCGTTTCTTCTTGGGACTTTCACATGTCCCCGCCATTCGTCCCTTCGGCGGTCCCTGACGCTTAGTCCCGCCGGCGGTCCCCGACACTTAGTCCGGGATGCCATTATTTCTACTTAGTCCCATGTGGCCCCGGATGCCTTGAGGGAGGCTGATCCGAGATTTTTCGAATTGCTCCCATGCCTCTTGCTTCAAGTTTCTTCAATTTTTACTTTCCTTTTGGCCTTCACGTTTTCTACCGCTAGTGCTTGCACTTAGTAGTGCTACCTTGCCTTTATTATTTTCCTTCATGTGGTGTCGCCGTTTCTTCTTGGGACTTTCACATGTCCCCGCCATTCGTCCCGTCGGCGGTCCCCGACGCTTAGTCCCGCCGGCGGTCCTCGACACTTAATCCCAGATTCCATTATTTCTACTTAGTCTCACGTGGCGCCGGGTGCCTTTCCCCAAGGTGTCCCACGGTGCTTGGGCGTTTTCTGCCCCGCGGTGACCCCTCTCCCTTGTCTTTTCTCGCGCCTTGCGCGTGCTGATATCTTTGGTCGCAGCCTCCAACTCAAGGCCCTTGTAGGTGGCCCCCATGTTGGGCCCTTGTTCTCTAGCTTCCCACGGCCCCGGGGTCATCCATCTCTCGACTTCCTCATTCTTGTTTTGCTGTCGTGCTGCGTTTGCTGGTTCAAGGGCCCTTTGGCCTTAGTCTTGTTGAATTCCAACGGCCCTCCCGGCCTCATACTATGTTCTACGTGCCCCTGTTCTTGCGCTCACTCGCTTGCCGTTGCCGGTTCTCTCGCTCTGCGGTTTTCTCCCCAAGGCATTACTCCCTCTTGCGGCCTAATCCTTTGTCTTTCTCTCTCTTTCCTCCTGACTCCAGATTTCTCTGTCGTGCACAATTTGTCTCGAGTGATGGGAAGTTATTCAGGACCCACCAGTCCCGACACCGGTGAACAGAGTTGTCCTACTGATGAATTAGGGGGGGTTGCAAGGAACAGGGTAGTCCTACAAATGAACTAAAGGGAGGACAGGGAGCAGGGTGGTCCTATTGATGAACTAAAGGGACGACAGGGAGCAGGGTGGTCCTACTGATGAACTAAGGGGACTGCATGGTTCGCTATAGGTTAAGGGGGAACAAAGTTTAGGGAACAGGGAACTTCTATTGATGTTCTACTGGGTAAGATAAACAATGGTCAGGGGAACAGGGGATGTTTATTGATGTTCTAGTGGGTACGGGGAACAATGGTTAAGGAAACAGGGATCTGCTAATGATGTTCTACAAGGTTGTCAAAGTCAGGAAAAATAAAAATGAAAAATGTTTGTTCAGGATGCAAAGGCTGGTGTGTCCGAAGGGGTCGGCAGCAGAATCTCATGTAGGAACAAAGTGTCCAAGTGTCTTGAAAGGGGGTCTGCAGCGGTCTTGATCAGGTCTTTGGAGTAGGTGGTAGAAGCGATCTTCAGCAGCTGCAATAGGTAGAAGTCCAAGAAGCGTAGTAGTTGTTCAAGTGTCAAAGTCCAAGTGCTAAGGTGCGTCAGTACACGAACTGCAATGAGGTCTGATCTGGAAGCAAGGAAGTCGCAGACTGATGCAAAGATCCATGTCACAAGTTGCTGCTCCAGTAAGTCCGCGAGTCGGGATTTCGGCCAATGAAACAGCATGGTGGCCAAACCAGTTGGATAATCTCTGTGAATAGTGAGGCAGCAGGCCATTGTCCTCGTGCGCTTGCCATTAGATCCTGTATCACCGGCGTCACGCAGGTTCACAAGCATTGGACAAGAGAGACAAGGTAGTGGAGAGGACATATGAGACAAGGCTAGGCGAGGGCAACAGCAGATCAAACATCAGGAATGAGGGTCAAGGGGAGGGTAGTTGGGTTCAAGGGTGTGTGTAGAGCAGGGTTGCGAGGTTGTAGCATGGTTTTAGGTGAGGGTTTAGGGTTTATGCCAGGATATAGCTAGGATACAAGGTAGGCACGATCATAGGCACGAACAAGTTTCATGACATTCTTGAGATTATCAAGGAGTTCCCATGTTGATTCTTCATAAGGGTATCCGGTCTATTTTACTTTGTATTCGGTGATTGGCTCCGGGTGATCTGATACTTGAGTTGTTCTTCGTCCTATGATTAACTCGACTATGAATTTTGGGTCTGTTGGAAGCATGATTGGTGGAGGTCTAGGATAAGGGCGGTCAGCGAACTGGGTGGGGATTCGTGGTATTCCTTGAGGTATTCTACGTGGAAGACTGGGTGGACGCGACGCATGACAGGTGGAAGCTGAAGTTTGTAATTCACGGGAGAGGTTTGTTCAATGATGGGGAAGGGACCGAGCCACTTGTTCGAGAGTTTCTTGGACAAGCCTTGTTCAGGTTCAAAGCGTTTGGCAGAAAGCCAGACTTTGTCCCCTACTTTGAATGACACGTCACGACTGTGTTTGTTAGTCTTGTTGGCTTGTTGTTCTTGTGTTCTTTCAAGGACTGTGTTTGTAATTCACGGGAGAGGTTTGTTCAATGATGGGGAAGGGACCTCTGAGGAGTCTGTTCATTGTTGCTACCCATTCATTGAGAGAGGGGCAAGGGGTGGAGGGGTTGAGCTGCGAGGGAAGCAAGAAGTCAGAGGGCAAGTGGGGATGGTAGCCAAGGTCGAGGTAGAAAGGGGACATGCCAGTGGAGGGGCAGACAGCGTTGTTGTAGGCAATCTCGACGGTTGTGAGCAACTGATCCCAATCGGTTGGTGTGGATGACAATACTTCCGCAGGATTCTTTGGAGTGTATCGTTCATCTTCTCTGTTTGACCATCGGTCTGTGGGTGGAATGCAGTGCTATACTTGAGCGTGGTTCCGTAGGCCGTGAAGAGGTGTTTCCAGAATTGTGAGAGGAAGCGAGGATCACGGTCGCTGATGATGTTCTCGGGGAGGCCATGATGGCGAGCAACATGGTCGAAGAAGAGTGTGGCGACGTCTTTGGCATTGTGCGAGGTCGTGCAAAGGACGAAGTGGGCACGTTTGGTCAAGCGGCAGACAATGACGTAGATGCAATCATGCCCGCGGTCGGTCTTGGGGAGGCCGCAAACGAAGTCCATGGAGATGGACTGCCACCGGTGAGTTGGGATGGGCAATGATTGGAGCTTGCCGGGTTTGGCCCGGTTCGAGGGGTTGACAGCTTGACACGTGGGGCACGAGTGAATGTATGCCTTAACATCGGCGAGTAGGGAAGGCCAGTAGAAGTAGCGGTAGATGGTGTCGAAGGTTTTCTGGAAACCGAGATGTCCTGCGGTCTTGGCGGCGTCGTGGTGCTCGACCAAGAGCTGAGTACGGAGGCCTCGTGCGTCGGGGATGCAGAGTCGGCGAGTGCCTTTGGTATCGATGTAGAGGAGATTGTTGTGGAGGGAGTAGTCGGGAACTGGGTCAAGATCGCGGAGTTTGTTGTAAATGGTGGCGAAGTCTGAGCAGGAGAGATAGCCTTGGGTGTATCGATGATGAAGTGATGGAAGGAGTTGAATATGAGTCATGGCGGMGTAGACTTTCTCGRGGGGCTTGTGGTCGGGTCGTCGMGAGAGGGCATCSGCAACGCGGTTGCTTTTGTCAGGGGTATGGCAAATGGTGAATGTGAACTGGGCAAGGAAGTCTAGCCAGCGGGCTTGGCGTGGAGTGATATCTTTCTTGGAGAGGATGGAGGAGACRATGGTGTTGTCAGTGCGGATGGTGAAGTATTGCCCGTCGGGGTACGGGCGCCAGACTGTGAGGGCGTGAATCACGGCGAGGAGTTCCTTCTCGTTGGAGGGGTAATTCATCTCCGCGGAAGGAGCTTCTTGCTTTCGAAGGCGACGGGGTATTCGCCAGGTGGAGCCTCGGGGTGAGTGGGCGAGTCCTTGATGGAGGGGGTCTCGGCGGTGTCGCGGGTGAAATGCTGGGACAGTACGGCTCCGATGGCGAAGTCGGAGGCGTCAGTGGTGACATAGAAATGGCAACTGAGGTCGGCAATCTTGAGGATAGGGGCCGTGGTGATGGTTTGCTTGAGTAAATCAAAAGCGTTTTGGCGGCGATCGTTCCAATGGAAGGGCTCGTCCTTGCGGGTGAGTTCGTGAAGAGGGTAAGAGATCTCAGAAAAGTTGCGAATGAACGAGCGGTAATAGTTGGCAAGGCCGAGGAAGGAACGGAGTTGGAGGGTGGTCTTGGGTGGGGGGTACTCGACGAGGGCTGTGACCTTCGAGGGGTCCATACAGATGCCTTTAGTGGAGACAATATGGCCGAGGTGTTCGACGCTCGAAGCGACAAACGTACATTTGTTGGGCTTGGCGTAGAATTTTTGCTCTCGGAGGATCGAGAGGACTTGCTGGAGGTGCTGAAGGTGGGACTCGAAGGTGGGACTGAAGACAAGGATGTCATCAAGGTGGACGGCGACACAAACTTCGAGGAGGTTGCGGAAGATGTGGTTCATGGTAGATTGGAAGGTAGCGGGGGCATTGGTGAGTCCGAATGGCATCACGAGGAACTCGTAGTGCCCGAACCAAGAGCGGAAGGTGGTCTTGTGGGTGTCCTCCTCGCGAATACGGATCTGGTGGAAGCCACTGCGAAGGTCCATCTTGGTGAAGTACTTGGCTCCACGGAGACGATCAAGGAGCTCGGAAATCCGAGGTAGGGGGTACTTGTTCTTGATCGTGATCCGGTTCAAGGCGCGGTAGTCTGTGCACATGCGGAGTTTCGAAGTTCCACCTGCGGAGTTTCGAAGTTCCACCTTTCTTGACGAAAAGGCAGCTGGTTCCGAAGGGGGATGAACTTGGCTTAATTTTCAAGGAGTTCACCGAGTTGCTGCTTCATTTCTTCGGCTTCGGGGACAGAGAGTTGGTATGGAGGGCGGCAAGGTGGAGAATGTCCGGGTTCCAAATCGATGGTATGCGATACGCCACGATCCGGAGGTAGTCCGGCGGGTAAGGACTCGAGAAAGACGTCCCTGAACTCGTCGAGGATTGAAGTGATAGCGGGGTTGGAGGGCGGGGCTTGATCGGGTTTGTCCGTCGGGAGTAAGTCCTTGGGACTTTCGCGATCAAGGACAAGACAGTAGTAGGCGGAGTCGGGGTTTAGGCGAGCCATGTGGAGGAATTGGTGYGGGGTGACAGAGCCTTGGGAGGACGGATATGGGAGATAGGGGATGTCAATGTTTGTGTCGGGGGGGTTGGTGAGGCGAAGGAAGTTGGGGTGGAATGCGTATGGCATGTAGCGGTCCAGCCACGGGGTTCCTAAGACGATGTCGCACATCAAGAGGATGACATCAAACGAGACCCGACTACGGAGGGTTCCGACGGTCATGATRGTCTCGGGAACCGTGCGGTCTACTACGACGGCGGTGTCTTTGTCCCCTAGGCGAATCGTGATCGGGGAGTCATAACCGGTAGAGGTAAGACTGGCTTTGCCGACACCCGCGTCAGTGATGAAGTCACCGGTAGAGGTTAGACGCACCAAGGGTGGCAGCGATGAATTTGAGGTGGAAACGAGATGAGTTGGCGGCGGAGATGATGGTGTTGAGGCGGCGTTGTTCGTTGCCTAAGCGGACAAGCTGATCGTTTCGGGCTTGTTCCTCAACAACATCGGAGAAGGTGATAGTGGATGGATTTGGAAGAAGGGTAGAGGAGTGGGAGGAGGCGTTTGTGACGACTGGGAGTCGTCCGGTGGAGGGGGCGTCGCCGGAGAGGGGGGAGGCAAACGAATTGTCCATGCCAGATGGGCCATTGGTGGGATGGAGGATGTCACCGATGGGTGGGCCGACACACGCGATGTCGATGCGGGGCTAGTGTCCTGGGGACTGTGTTCATGATGAGGAGGGGCCCGCGCTTGCCGAGGGCGGTGATGCGGAGGTTGCGGGTCGAGTGGAGGCGGACTGGCGGGTGAATCGTGCGGCGTTGGGGCAGTTGGTTTGTTGGTGTCCCAATTGGCGACAACGGAAGCAACCCCCTTTTGCTTGGAGGTAGGTGCGCTCCTCGGGGGTGAGTTTCTTGAGGCGGGAGGGTGGGGTAGATGAGGGTGGTCGGGAGCTGCGATCT